GCCAGTGTTGAAGGCCAGGCTGGATGAGGCTTTGAGCAACCTGGTCTAGTGGAAGGTGTCCCTGCTGCTGGCAGGGGGGTTGGAACTGGAGGAGCTTGAAGGTCCCTTCCCACCCAAACCATGATGACAAAGGTTGCTGGGAGCAGCCTCTGGTTTGTTTGCCCCAGTTCTCTGTTATGGTGTCACTGGGGAATCCTGCAATGGGGCAGGAACGCAGATTTTCTGCACCAGGCTTTGCTTCCTCACCAAACCTCTCCATAAACCATCTCCTTCCATCTCTTGTGTTTCAGACCACCACCAAGCCCTTCTGGCACCATCACAGCTGCCTATGGCCAGCCCCAAAACCACTCCATCCCAGTGTACGAGATGAAGTTCCCGGACCTGTGCGTGTACTGATGGTGGCCGTGCTGGTTGGGCAGAGCCACCGCTGCACAGCTTGCACCAAAGGACCTCTTAGGGAGAGACTGCTGACCCTGTGGGGAACACATCCTTGTGCAGGACGGGTGGGGACATGGACATCAAGGCCACCCCAAGATTCTTTGGCACCACAATCCCGTCTCTCGTACTTTATTGGGTGGTTCTCCGCCTCCGTAACCACGTTTGGCAGCGGTTGGTGGTGCAGGAGGTTTGGGGAACAGTGACACGGGGAGGTGGGTGGTTGCTCTGACCTCCCTCTCTGGTTTCATTTTTTTGGGGGAGGAAGGGGAGAAGAGATGTTCTGGCTCTGGGCAGAGCACATTGGGTCCATATATCTTCTTGGCATAAAGCAAACTCATTCCCTGGGGAATCCTTCTCCACATGGTCTGTTGGGCACGTCGTGAGCCCCTGGTGAGGGGAAGGGCTGAAGCTGGAGGGTGTGAGACTAAAAGGCAGGAGGAGATCTGGGGTGAGGTGTGCTGGAGTCTGGGGCAGCCACAGATCCAAAGCTTGGATGAGCTGGTGCTTGAGGCAGGTTTCTGGAAGGGGTATGATCCCCATGTCCAGCTCCTGCATCTTCCTGGGACCCCCCCTCGGTGCACGGCCAGTCCCCTGGGTGCTTCAAGGTGCCCTGATGCCCCGGACAGGAGGACTTACCTGGTTGCAGCACAAGGGTGGCAATTGTCCCATCCCATTGTGGGGTCACACAGCAGCCTGGCTGGTTCCAGGTCACTTGAAAATATGATTTATTTGGGAAAACCCACTCTTTTTTGGGGGGGGGAACCCACCAAAGCCGTGCCTCGTGCCTCTCACCTGGGTTATGAGCTGGTTGCTCACGAGGAGCTGGTGTGACTGAGCCCAGGTGTGCAGTGGGATGCCTGGAGCAGTGACCTGAAGCACGAGCAACCACCGTGCTGGGGAATATTAACCCATTTACCCACTGTTGTCATATTTTTGGGTTGAGTTTTCACAGTTTTGAGGTTCATCTCTCAAAGAATGAACGATTTCATTGATTTTCTTTTATTTTTTTAGCAGAATCGCTTTGATTTCAGTCCAATCTTAAATCAGCTGAGCCGTAATCACAAAGAAACCTCAGCGCCGCAGGAAATAGCAGTGATAAGAAGTGGTTTGGCAGGTTCCACCCTGCAGACCCTGCAGCTGGCAGAGGCTGTGGATCGTGGATTTGCTTGTGCAATAGGATAAAACTGGATTTGGGCTGGAAAGGCAGATGAAGCTATCGAGAATTTATCTTTAGACACACGTGGTAGAAAATTCTGAGTCCTACCAAACCCAAACTACAAGGTGAAGATGGTAGGGATGGGGAGGAAAGGTTATTTGGAGGGTATTGAGTCATTCCCAGGGGGTATTGAGTCATTCCCAGGGGGTATTTAATCATTCCCAGGGGGTATTTAGTTGTTCACAGGGGTCTTTCTTGCTCCCAAATACCTTCCAAGCTGAAGCTGTTTGCAAGATGAGCTTGGGCGCGCTTGAAATCAGACAGGCACTGCTTGCAGCTTCTTCACCATCACCCTCCCAGCACCCTGGGGGGGATCTCTGTCAAACTTGGGCAACCCCTTTCCCCTTTGGCTGGACACACTGCTTCTGGCTTTGCCACGTGAAGAGACACAGAAGAGTCTAAAGCTGGAGATGTGGGAGCTGCTTCTGCTCGTGGCGAAGGGACAAGAGGTAAACGCAGCCGCTCGATCGCACCGGCTCTGCCCGTGTCCCCCTGGGTTGCTTCAGCCACCACCCATTTCTCTGCCACCTCTCACTTCCAGATCTTCAAGCTGTTATTTTAAGCTATAATTACACTTTACCATCCCTTTTTGTTTCCTCTCAGTGGTGGATATCATTCGCAATTGCCCCGAGGTCACCGCTTGTGCTGGGATCTGGGTTTAGGAAATGATCTAGTTTAAGAGGATGGGAAAAACAAGGGGTTATTTCAATCTCTGGGTTGGATCACGGTGCTGTCCCACTGGCAGCGTGGCTCTGCTCTGCCAGCCCTGCCCGAGGCTCTTCCCTTGCTGCTGCCTCTCCTCAGGCTCCTCATGTGTCCCCATCCCCTGTCCCTAAGTTGGTTTTGCTCCCTGGGTTATGCCTGGTCCTACTGAAACCTGAGTTTGGCTGGGATGAGTTTTGTTGGGATGAGT